TATCTAATGTTTCTTTACCAAGTTTTGAGGGTCGCCGTGTATTTTTTTTTTTGCCCAAAGGCATCCTGTGAAGTTCAGTCACGATTTTTCGCAAGTAAAGCTACGCCAAGGCCCACGTAGCTGAGCCAGAAAATCGAATCGAGCCGTGCATAAACTTCGCCGGACGTGCTTACACGTGACGGCACATGTTGCAAAGCGATTTAACACGTAAGTACAATGTCGATGTAGCCGAAAGCGCCGGAGAGTATGTTTAAGTATACAATCGATTTGCAAAAAACTCAGAGAAATAAAAACATGACTACACGACTGATGTAAATTTCAAGAGAACTACATTAGACGTTAACATACGATGTGACGGGTACTTTTTGAGGTAAAACTTCCTATGATACGGAGGTACGTATAAACTTACACGTGACTGCACATGTTGCAAAGCTATTTAACGCGCAAGTACAATGTCGATGTAGGCGGAGAGCATGTACGACTCATGTACATTTTAATAAAATTACATTGGTAGTTAACAAATGATGTGATACGTACATTTTGAAGTAAAACTCTTTATAATACGGTAGTACATGTAAGCTTACACGTGACGGCACATGTTGCAAAGCGATTTAACACGTAAGTACAATGCCGATGTAGCCGAAAGCACCGGAGGGTATGTTCAAATATAAAATTGATTTGCAAAATATTCAAAGAAAGAAAAACACGCCTACACGACTGATGTAAACTTCAACAAAACTACATTGGAAGTTAACTAAACATGCCTACGCGACTGATGTAAACTTCAGCAAAACCACATTGAAAGTTAACAAAACATATCTACACGACTGATGTAAATTTCAACAAAACTACATTTTACATTAACGAATGATGTGGCGGGTACTTTTTGAAATAAAACTCCTTATGATACGGTAATACGCGTAAGTTCCCATGTAGACGGACCCAATTCGAAAAGCGAAACGCTTTTCTTGCAGTTAATTACTATTTACATACAGTTTTTGTCTTAGTATTAAGACAACTTGTGTGAACGTCTTCATCAATGTTATTTAATTTCAATTCGTTGCCTAAGAAATCACTCAACGGCTGCGCTTCTGACTTATTGTTAGCAAAGCTGACATTAAAAATTACCGCTCGTTATTACATGATCAATCGTTGTCAATGACAACTCCTCTTTTTTCAATAACTAAATACGTTCATTTTTGGGCATTGACACAATTTCCGTAAACGTTTTTATGAAATAAAAGGAATACAAGTAAAACATAAAGATAATTACGCCCGACGAAAATCGAAGCGAAAGCGTAAGGGCATTCTCTAAAATAATAATCAAGATTAATTCACAATATTTGATAATTCTCTTTAACTTGGATGTTTTGTCCCCAACGCGTGTGGTGGTCACGCATTGATTTCTTACGTTACTAATATTTTCTCTAAGATTTGAAGGTCACCATGTATATTTAAAAAAATATCCAACAAGACTTGGCCCAGACTGTTCGCATCCAAGTCGACGATAAGTTTTACAATGTTAAAAAATGACTAAACACTTAATTCAATGTCCATTGCATGTGTTGGGTTCCTAGAGTTAGTAGAAATCAAATTGCAGACCCTCAAAAATCATTCACAACTCGATGTACTTTTTTAGTTCTAGAGTATATAGATCCAAAGAGAAAAACACAGCGTCAATGCCGACGTAAGAAAGCGAGAAAATCGAATCAATCCCAGCATAATGGTCATTGGATGTACCGTCGCATGACGTCACATGTCAACGATGACGATACTGGTTGATTACGTTTACATTAGGATATTTACAACCCTACCCTCAGATACGAGCAATTACCCGCGGGTAATTGCTCGTATCTGACCGTACCTACGGCATTGATACAGCTACAGGTAAAACAGAAATTCCACCTGAGAAATCGATCGCCGGGAAATGAGTGGGGAAAAATGGATACGGTTTAAGTAGCCATTCTCAGAAGTAGACGTACATTTCTATATAATGTAGAAAGGTTCTCCAAACGTATGTGGTACTGCGATATTCTCGGCAAGTAGAAAATAGACGTCCAACCAATATTTAAAAGAGACACCGTTGACTCTAGGAAGGAAAATATAGCATTTGCTTCTCACTCTTCTTCTGCGTGACCGTAAAAAATATGAATATATGAAATCTTAGAATCCTTATGTAAAGATATTCTTTATTTGATAGTTCATGAAAGAAGACCAAAAAAAGGTAATCCAAATGCAATGATAATTAAAATGTATTTTTAATGATTCTTTGTAAAATTACCTGCCAATAAAAATGAAGAATATAAATAGAAGGAAGTGTGAATGTAAGATTATCATTTCAGTTGATAAGGCATATAAGCATGTTTGCCTTCGATCTCAATGTACTTGAGAAGCTACTTGCAGAATAAATTAAGCACACTGCGAGGTTATCTGCATCGCTGGAAAATTTTGAGACGTTCGTTATTTTATTAATGGAATTTTGAACACGAGCTTCTTTACAGATCTTCAAGTGGAGATAATCTATCAATGTCAAGTCTGGAGAATATCATTTGTCCCATATGATCGTTTCTGCCAGTTCATACATAGGAAACGTTCAATCCAAGTAAGCATTACCACCTGTGTATGCAAAGTGAGAGAGAAAACGTAATTACTCTCTCGGCTCATATGATAAATTCGAAAATCGGAATAATTCGATACTAATTAAGATTAGCTCACAACAAGGTCTGGAAACATACTAAATTGCCAATAAATTATATTTCAAAGCCTAAACAAAACGTTGTCGAATACCGTTTTTAAAGTTCTGCGTAATCAGGTTTAAGAACAAAGTAAAAAAAAATGTATGGAAAATAGATATCGCAATTCTGTAATCTAGAACATTTGTGACTTTTCTCCACCAATCCCAAAATCGCGATCTCATATTCGTATCATGGATTAAAGGTGATTAAATTCCTTACTGGAATTTTTTTAATCGAGGGGTTGCAATTCGACTCGTAATCAGATCCGAGATTCGAGCATCTCAACTGTTTTTCTTATTCTGACATTCAGATAACGGAAGATTCTCATCGTATTTAAAACCTCCGCTGATATTTTTGGACCGACCTTCCGGGACATTTATTTCGCCCCCGAATTAGTATCACATCGAGCTGTCATTCCTCTTCCCAGCACAAAAAATCTAACCCTAGACCTAAACTCACCGTTTCAATCTCTGCCTCGATTAATTATAATAATCCCCTATCATTATACGAACGATACTTTCACGGTACATTGTTGCTAATCGACTTCAATGACTCCTAAAATTGCAACTTCAACGATTACAGGTTACGTATGAACTCGGAAGAACTTTGGAGCCTGTAACCGTTAATTGTTTGAGAATCTACTCGTTAATCATTGGAGAATCTACTTTACGTCATAACGAAACTCGACATAACATCTGCGAAAAAAAAGGCGAAACATCTTCCCGTGCATAACATCTGCGAATTGGAGAAATCTGTTCGGTCTGTTTAAAATACACTTTTCCCCCGTTATTCTCGCATCCTCAAAATCATCGTAGAAGACTCATCTCTAGTGTCTCTCATCTCTAGCCACGTGTGACACGAATCAATGGCGATCTCCTCCGGCGATTTGAGGTCTACTTAAAGTGAAGTGAAACCCCCTGCAAATCAGTCGATTCGAATACAACACTTTTTTTTTAAGGGTATTAGACCGAACTGTCCGAAACTTTGACTCATCACTCCTGATCGTCTAAGAATTGTCCTGACACATTCAAAATATGGATTTAAAAAAAAAATTGTTTAATTCAGCCCAAACCAGAACCAAAATGGCGTCGAGCTCTCATATTTCGATCAATATACAATTATCGAAGGCTCTGATATGAGAATCGAAAGGGTCAGGACAATTTTACGACAATTTAGAACACCCTGGCAGTCGATATGCTAAAAGTATGGTGATACGAGGTCTTGGAGTGAAAATTTAATTGACCTGGAAATCACAGATGGCGCAGGGGGTCCCTCTGTGATTATGATTTTAAACATTTCCGAAACGTTTACAACGTATTCGACAGATAATATTAAAAAAAAAAAATAATTATATCAAAATGAATGTAATTTCCAGGTCAATTAAATTTTCACTCCGAGACCTCGTATTACCATCGTTTTGGCATAGCAGCGCATAAGACACTTTTTTTGCCTTTATCCCGTTCAAATGCGAGTTTCTCGATTACCAGAGTGTTTCAAATCGTCGTACAATTGTCCTGACACTTTCGTTTCTCATATTAGAGCCTTCAATAATTGGATATCAATCGAAATACGAGAACTCAACGCCATTTTGGTTTTGGTCTGGAGCTAAGTTAGAAAATTTTTTTCAAAAATCCAATTTTTGAAAGTGTCAGGACAATTCCTCGATGATCACGAGTCATGTGTCAAGGTTTCTGATAGTTCGGTCCAATACCCTTAAAAAAGAAAAAGTGTTGTATTGGAATCGACTGATTTGAGAGGGGTTTCACTTCACCTTAACACTAGAACTACCGGCGGATTTTTTTTGTGTATGATGGGCCATTGGAAACCAGTCATTTTGACTGGTCTTGGCAGTTCTTGTGTTAAGAGAATGTAATTTTTTTCGCTCAGTATACCTTGTCTCCCCTACTCTGTCCGGGTACGGACAAGATACGGACAAGATACGGACAAGATACGGACACGATACGGACACGATACGGATACGTCCAAACCGGCCTTTAAACGACTCGGCCGGCCTCGTGGGCGGGCGACTTCGGATTCGTGTCAATTCGCGCGATTGCGTTAGCGCCGCGACTCGCGGCGGAGATCTCTCCGGAGCACACCGGTCAAGACGTCCTTGCGACTCGCGTGCTCGCTTTCCAAGGCCGGGTTTTCCTTTCCTTCTCAGGACAGGCCTCACCGGAGAAGCCCCAGCCTCACGTGGTCCATTTCCGCCGAAAACCCATACGAGAAGAACCGAATGGTCCGCTTCCGCCACCACCCACTCACCTCCCGGAGCGATGCCTTGATCTGACAGTTTGAGCTTGACAGCCGATCGCAACCTGTCCCTTCTCCTCCTCGAGCCAATGACTCCTTCCGCCTCCCCTTTCTCGCTGTCAACTCGCGGCAAGCCGCTGTCAGCTGTCGCGATCCGTCGCGATCCGTCGCGATCCGCCGAGATCCGCCGTCAATTGGAGTTGGATCCGGCTCGGTGCGACCAAGATGTCAACTCTTCCCGGCTGAAATTGAACATCGATTATTATGACAACTTCGTAACGTTTGGGTGTTATCCGGGGCGATAAACTTTAGAAACTAGGACACAAATAAATGAGAAGAAACGAAGAAGTCTAAAAGGTCTCTATATTAAACAAGCAGAAGTAAATCAATTAATTAATTAATTAAATTAAAGGATGCCCAAATTATAAATGGAATATAAAAAGAGACCGAGACAAATGCAGAAACGAACTTAAAAGAATAAATAACAAAATAATCCCGCTAACGGAGAATATAACGGTACAAGGATAAATAAATATAAAAAGATAAATGAACAGAAAGATGGATTAAAAAATATGTTACCTCCTGAGGAACGATTAATTTAATATACAGATTCGGTTATTGCTTTTTAAGGTATCTGACTAGGACTTCGAGTCGTATTTGGTGACCACCTCAGAACCGTAAAAAAGGGACAACAATATTCGTCGGCATGTCGTGCAAATCCGACCATAAAGACCCTTAACTTGTCGAACGTAATGTTTTTAATACCAGGTGCGATTATTAGCGAAACGAGAATCCGAGTTTACGTCTCCAGTTCTCTCCGAAGTTGGGAATCGGTCTAATAACATTTTACTCGGACGATAATTCAACTAAAATTGTATTCTTTTTATTCGTTAATCGTAGTACTCGTAACTTGCTATATTCATTATCCATATTATCCCTTGTTCGCGTTATTCGTCATTCGTTATTCATTATCTTTTATTCGTATTATCCGTCTTTCCCCCCTTTAGTTCTCAACTTATGAAAAACAAAATGAATCTTCTTTAGTCTCACTAATATTTGTTGAGCAAGAACGTGTATGCAAGGTACGTTTTAACTCTTCGATTACAACAAAAACTTTTAATTCCGTAAAATCAAAATTATATGTATAAAATATTAATTAATAAAATATATAATTATTACTTGAGCTTAAAGAGTTTATGAGAGGATGAAATACCATTATATTTTTAACTGACATACTTCAAATGAAAGTCAAACAATATGTTTGATGATTTGTTCAGGAAGAAAAGATGTACCTCAGAATGAAACTTTATAAATAACAAGTAAATGAATAACGAATAAATGAATCAATAGATAACAGATAAATATATGATTCGAATAAACCTTATTTGTTTTTGTCAAATGACTTTCAATATTATTCTTTATTCGATATTCAAATTAATTCTACCAATTTTGTCTGGCCTTTAAATCGAACAGTAATACGTAACTGATCTGCGTTCGGCTAATCATCGCTCCTGATTGGCTATTTTTCAATTAATTATCATAAGTATATCATAACTAACTTAGAAGAAAATTGTACAGAATTTACAACTCCAATTTCATCAAGGATATCAACGTATAAATCATGGGCACGAGTTTTGTTACACCCTGTATATAGGTTCCTCAAATTGCACGTATAAATTGTATAAGTTAAAAAGAAAGTATTGCAATCCACTGGTCGCGATACAAAGTCGATGGTCGTATGATCGAATGTTGCTTTTATCGCAAAGTGGAAGTATGCTGTTATTACTATAAGCGTTTCATGCAAATATGTGTACATGGATCGATAGGCCTATGTCTTATATAAAAAGGATAGCCACTAAAATGCAAAAGTTGCATTTTGTTGCATTAAACATCTTCCACTCGTATAGTTATATTGCACATCGTATTTCCTAAAATTAAAGCAAAATATATTCATAAGCGTCAAATCAAACGAGTTTCAAAAGAAAAGTTAATGTCAGGAATTTCTTAAAAAATAAGGTCTTCCGTGCCGGTATTATACTTTGGATATTATAACGATCCAATACCAACACGGAAACGATATTAATTAATAACAGTGCTCAATAACAACGTAGCGTACAAAAAACCTGTCTAAATACGCTACTCCATTTTTATATTCTCTTCGAGCCATCCTTAATTCGTATATACATTAAGTCGAGACAGTGACTGCAAACAACATATAAGAATCGGTACATTCCACATATCCCGAGTCGAAAAATCGATAAGAACCTTCAAAACACATACACCTCGGTCACCATCAATGTACGGTATTCCAATTTCAACTGTTCATGACCGCTGTCAATAACCCCTTACCATTCGCCGTTAATTCATTGAAACGGCCATAAATATCAGGGTGTCCCATAAGTTTCTTACTTTTTGTTTTTATACGAAATGAATACACGGTGCGGCAGGAACTTATGGGACACCCTAATATTTTCAAATCTCGGTCAATTCACAAAACTCACTTTGAAATCCTCGAGGACGCTGTCAATTTTCCTTGGCCGTTGTCAATTTGCAAGGACCCCTGCCAATTCCTCTGGTCAACGTCCAGTGACAGTCGAGACCGATCAGTCTGCCAAGCACCCAAAGAAGGTTTCCAGGCCACTGTCAAGAATCCTCGACCGTTGTCAAAATTGCCCTCGTCAAAATGAACGGGTTCCTTGACCGGCGTCAACTCGTGACTCTCCGTGACTCGTGACACTCCGCCCAACGCGCTGCCAATTCGCCTCTGACCCTCCCCCCAGCTCCGGGCGACTGGCCCGGCAATTCAACGGTTGACTACCGGCTCGCGAGACTCGACTGCGCAGCTCCGCGGGCGCTCGATCGGCGACTAACGGCGGACTCCGCGCGACTGGCGTGCGACCGGCGCGCGACCGACTAGTCGGGCCGGTGCCCACGCCGGCCCACGGCGTCCCACGGCGATCCACGCCGGCCGCGACTCCTTTGTGTATACGCAGAAACATTGAGTTGTCCAGAAAGATATTCAAGTTTTTGCCGTCTAAATAAAATTTTACGCTTCGTTTTCGAATAGACTTATTGTTTTCTTTTTACGTCCATGTTACGTACAATTTTAAGGCATAGACTTTGCTCGACATTTTGATAATAATAATTGTATTTCACGTATTACTTTCTGTTTTATTTAGACTATTGAGCTGTCCTAAAAGGTATTGAGGTTTTTGCCGTCTAAATAAAATTTGACGCTTTGTTTTCTTTTTACGTCCTTGTTTCGTACAATTTTAAGGCATAGACTTTGCTCCACATTTTGATAATAATTGTATTTCATATATTACTTTCTGTTTTGTTTAGACTATTAGGCTGTCCAGGAAGGATACAATTGCAAACATTTTTGCTGTCGGTGCAATTATTACTGAGGTAAGAGCAAATGTCTTGTTTTTTCGTTTTTTCGTGTACTCGGCGAATTCGCGTCCAACTCAAAACTGAGAGACGAATAATATTTTGTCGCTGACGTACCGTCACCTTCGTTTGTCCGTATGACCGATTTGTATTCGCCGAATGCTTGTCAATGCCGAGTTTCGATAGCTGCCCTGTGATAAGCACATTTGCCAGCAGCCCCAAAGAAATTAGCCTCCACGTATCGGTTGTACCTTATTAGTGGACTGTCAGGTCTTGATAGTCGCTTTAAGCGACTTAAACGATATTTCCTGAAACTGGAATTTTCCATGTGCCCATCAATTAAGGGAATTCCCGCCCATCAAAATGCTCGAAAAACAAGTAAATTTTCTAAATCGATAAAAAAGTAAACACCATAAGATGAAAAAAGCTTTGTCCTTTAATAATACATATTTCAATACGATAAAAATGTTATTTAGTTTGATGTAGTATATTTTCGACCGAAATGTGTGACATTCATTACGTGGCTATAGAAATGATATCTGTTGACGGGCGCCATCGGAACACGTGATAAGATTATTTGAAATAAAAACAGAAACAAAAATTTTCGTCAAATATGTGTGGGAATGATTCTTCTTATCTATATTTAATGTTAATGTAAGAAAATATTTGGCTATTTTTAACGCACGTTTAAATAAAATTTTCGAAAAACCGATCTTTTTTTAAATAATTCTATTTTTAAAGAGATTTGTGTGATCCAGTATAAACCATCATTAATAAGGGAGTCTACATTCAAACCATTGCCGCATAAGTTTTAAAGTACGTCTATAATTGCATTTTTTACAGAGGCACCCGTTAAAATAGTTGGTTGGAAAAAAATACGTTACAAATATTTATTTATTCTGGAGTTAATTAAACGTAGACCTAACAGTTTCACAGCGTTTTTCCTGCAATTCCGGTTCCTTACACGACACTTCCGTAGAAAAGAAACATCTATTTTTCCAAAAATTTTAACAGTATTTCCTTAAGAGCATCACCATTTACTAAGAATTGCAACAATACATTTGAGACGTGATTCACTGAGAATTACGGTACGATAACTGCTTATTGTATCGTCGAGAAATTGCAGACATTTCATACAATTTGGAGTTTCCCTTAATAGCGATTTTCTAATGGTCGATCGATTAAGAGTTTATAAGTATGTCCTAGGAATAGAAATGCCAATAAAAAATGTAAAAAGTAGTTCACAGTGGAATCGGGTCACAGGTTTACGGCGATTTAAAATATGTTCACAAAATCCAGCGATGAGTCACCAAGTGCCGATGAGCTGTCGGTGAGGGAATTACGATGACGGATTTGCAAAATTATCATCTACATTCGATAGGAATCCCGGAAACGATAATTCTCGGGAAATTATCTTAACGAGTATTCCCCTAGTAGCACAGAATAAATTCTAAATATATTTTTGTAATCTTTGCTAAATATCTGAAGCGACAGATTTTTTAAGATGTCTCGAAGATTTCCTTCGAAGATATCTAAAATATTTGTTGAAAATCTCAATGGCATATTTAATTTTAATCATTTAGAAACACGTATCGAAATTATATTTTTTAATTTGTAAAAATATAATAAAAATACGTTGTCTACAATTATTATCGGATACTTCATTTGGTATGAAAACACACGAGACATTTTTGCAACATTTTCGTTCCGCTATTTCATTAATGGAGCAAAACGTGTGATTTTTATTTAAAATATCTTTAAAACGCTTATAATGTATTCGGCAGATAATATTTAAAAAATACTTATATTAAAATGAAACGAAGGGTTTTATATATCGATAAGAAAGGTATTACGAAACACATGGAGCTAATAATATACAAATATTATGAAAATAATATTCTTAAGTGAATATTTTGCAAATATTTCAAATGTCTGCTAAATATTTACAAAATGTACGATATTCGTTAAATATATAGAAAATATAAGACAAATATTTTGTGCTACTAGGGTCGTATCAATTCGGACCGTTCAGTTTAATCAAATGAGCATTCGGTCTTATTATAGAATTTGCATCATACGCAAAAATCGAGTGTTTGTCGTTAGTATGAACATGCACCTAGGACTCGGTCCATTCGATAAAAATTACCCGTCGCAATGACGTGATTGCTAATAAGCTGGAAAAATGACGAAACTCGACGTGATACGTAGCGACATCCTTCTTGTGGGAACATCCGTTTCTGAAACGTCGCCTGGGGGGTCATGAAATGATACGTCCTGTACTCGTATGTCACTTCCTTAGAAGGATTCGCAATACTCCGCTGACTATTCAAGGAATCTTATTCGTGTCGCTGCTGACGTCGCGGCTTCACCTCGAAAAACGTGTACAAAAAGGCCGTATATTTCCCAGGCGGCGATTACCTAAACTGAGAAAAAATATTTCATTGAACCAAAGAAGTATTTCTTTGAATAAGTAGTACTAATGAATATATTCGGTTAATTATTTGACTCGAGTAACTCTGAATAAATCGGATGCAATATTTTTTCGGAATTATGAAAATTTATTTGAGACTAATTATTCTTTGATTTAACTAAATATTTTATTGGTACTGTTCAAAGAAACACTTCTCTAGTTCCATGAACTTTATTTTCCCAGTGTACAACGGGGGGTGAAAATTCCCATGAAAAACTGAATAAAAAAATTCAGTTCGTACAATCTAAATTACGCGTTTAATGTACTACTCGCTGAAAATGTCTGCAACACGTAAAAATTACAGCTGTGCATATCTGATAACCACATGTATCGGTTATCATAATGAAAGGAGTCCGCGATCATATCTTGGTAATGCAGATATTTTTTAAACCAAAATTCAATTACTATATATTTACGTCAATCTAGGTAATATGTGTTGGTCTCCGATTTGCAGGATTTTCATCTTTAGGTGTTGTAGGTTTTTCGCTAATAGTGTACTAGTGCATTAGACGGGGCGAAAATGTGCGTAAATATCTCCTGGCGAAAAATAATTAGCACTGTCAGAATTCAAATGCGAGGCCGAATTGGTTAATTTGAGAAATCGCCTTCCTTATAAGTTGCGCTAGTCCGAAGGCCATCGGGTTCGAAAGGCGGAAGTAGAATCGTTTCTCCAGATATTGCTGTACAAACATGACCTATTATTAGAATTATTAGATACTATCGTTAGATATTAAACTATGGACTGCGGGAACTACGTCATTTTTCGAAAGCATTCGACACCTTCACAGGATCCTACTTTTAAGAGCCTTCCTGGGCGTTCACCTGTTGACGCGTTTGGCAAACGGTCATACATTATATAGTAAAAAATCGAAACGGGATTAACAAAGTATGTATAGTATTGTAAACTGGACATTAATAAACAATAGGTTTATAAACGTCAAATTGTATGGTATAGATAAACAAGCACGCCCTAGACGTTTTTATAAAATTAGACATGAACACGTGGGCTTCGAGAACACTTTAGTACCGCGATACTTTTAACTTATTATAATAGACACATTAGGATCTAAAATAGTTTGGCTTGCAGATATTGATCTAATCTAAAACGCCTGTCACTATTTATCTAATCTAAAAAAAAGTCCCCTAAATCAGCGCCTTCGACTTAATATCATTAACTTTACAAAGCTGCCAAGATAATAGGCAGAATCAATGTAAAGAGGCTTACATTTTGATAATTGGAACCTGGTCCTTAATCTCCCCGCGTAAAAAGATATTTAGTTAAATCGATACAATTATCGTTCATTCACCCACAGAATATGGTTATTATATAGATAACCGAATATTTGCTTTAGTCTAATAAAATTGGTTAATAACTTTCAGTTAACCACGTCAAATACTGTAGCAGATCACTTAAATATTATAGTGGCTTAGTACATTTAACTAAGATATTACTTAATTCACGAAAATATTTTCTAAAATTAATAAAACGATTTAACCGAAACATTTTAATGATCGAGGCAGACGAGTTTGATCAAGTGAAATGAAATTCGATTTACTCGGCCCAAAACGTTTTTTGAAATTAACCAAACGCAGTCGATCAAACGATTTTGTTTAATGATCCTAATTTCGTTTCAGCGGGTGCAGACTTAAGAATACCTTTCCTGGTGGGAAGACGTCCTCAGTTAATTCTGGATGTAAGTTTGCGTATCCGTCGTACTCTCAAGTACGCTTACATGCGTTCACAGTCCTCGTTCCTAGGGCTATGTTAATGATAATTACACTAAAATATTTTCTAAAATTAATAAAACGATTTAACCGAAACATTTTAATGATCGAAGCGAAAGAGTTTGATCAACTGATCTGAAATTCGATTTACTCGGCCCAAAACGTTTTTTTAAATTAACCAAACGATTTTGTTCAATGATCCTAATTTCGTTTCAGCGGGTGCAAACTTAAGAATTCCTTTCCTGGCGGGAAGACGTCCTCAGTTAATTCTGGATGTAAGTTTGCGTATCCGTCGTACTCTCAAGTACGCTTACGTGCGTTTACAGTCCTCGTTCCCAAGGATCTGTTAACGATAATTACCCTCTTCTCAGTCGACAGGTTGCTTTCCACGCGATGGGCGGCCAAGGCGTGAGCCGACGTCGGCCCTAAGAGGTAAAAGCCGGAAGCCTCGCTAAAGATGACAAAGGAACAACGAACCGCGGACCGTGACTCAAGTCACGTATCACCCTCAATAAGAGAGATGTACATTACCGCAGATCTCTTGCTCTCGAGCTGTGAATGCAGGAGCGAAAGTACATGTGCCCGAATAGCCTGACTTTTCGATAAAACTTAATCTGCGCCTCCTACAATTACGCTTTTGCTCGTGCAATCAATGGCTGTCTGGTGAATTATTTGCCTCCCCCCGGTTAATTCAGGGAACAATGTTATTAATACCGTGGCGTATCAAAGTTGTGTATACGTCACGTAGATGGAATGAAATAACACCGGTGGACGACAAAGACGGATTTGCAAGAAAATATCTCGGGTAGGGAATTCCCGGCTCGTGTCCCGGGAATGCTTTTATAAATTTTCTCTTTAATTCGTATTTTCCATACCGGAGTGCGATCGTGCGGACAGTAATTTCCGAAGTACGTAATACCGTAAAGATCGAGAAAATTGCGTCAGAGAGGCAAGGTCTCACAAAAATGGCTAAGGACTCGTAATTGGTAACATGCGTGATGGAAACGTGATTAAGTAATGCCGGAGAATTTTTCTTCCTATATATTGTTAATGGGTAATCGCGGGAACTGTTGCCAACTGTTGTTCCAGTAATTTGTTCTTGCCGCTCGACTTTGTTTACAGGGGAGATCGTGAGCCACGCGCGGTGAATTAAGGCCCTTTTTTTACTTTGGATAATTTAAATATCCGTCGACACGGTGAGGGAATAAAATTTCGTGGCTTATTCCGCTTCCGAGGATTATTTCGTCATGCTATCTTATCAGTGATATATGAAATAATTTACGCTGCACGCCGGTATCAGGATGTCCTCCCCCGTGCCGTCATGCAGAAATCCAGGAAAATACGTCTTTGACTGGTTATTTCTGCGCATTTTTTTTTTCCATCGGAGGCCCTCTTGACGGCTTAACGAGACAACGTGCAATAAATTTGAAGTGCCAAGTGCAGGAATAACAAATACTTGAAAATGATTCCAAGGCCATGGGATTGAAAAATATCGCGGCAATGAAAACAAGCAATGAAAAGTTCACTTGAAAAGCATTACAGCTGATCTTGAAGACTATCGATGAAGAAAGAGTTCGTTAGCTTTGTAAGGTGAATCTTATCTAATAGGACTTCCAACATGACAGTGCACGAATCTGAGCGAGTAATGCACTTCTATTTTTATAGCAATAAAACATGACGTTGCAGGAACAGGGACAAATAGAGGATTAATGTTTGTCTGGCAGTGAAATGTTGGGAAATTGGAACAGTACGAGACCCTTTGCAAAAATATTTCAAGGGACGAATACTTCTCTATTTATTGTCAATTGCACATGAAATGTTTGAAAGGATCAGTGAAATTAATTGTAAAAAATTAGCAAGAATGAAATGTTACAAGTTATACGCGAAATGTTCGTTATTATTACTTGAATATGCGTTAAGATTTGACTTTTAGTTAGGTATTTTCCTATGTTGACGTTTAAAGTAAACACAACTGAGACGTTGGACATTTATAACAGCAATATATAAATCATTCTTGTGATTTATCGTCTTGAGTTATGTGTTGAATTGTTATTAGAACTTGCGCTTTTTACCAATTTATGGGGACACAATTATGATTTTGCTTCATACTACGCATTTATTAGATCGTAATACTTTTTTACTGCTTCTACAACATTAAAGACAACTTTATAAAATCACTGTAACAATTTTCCAGGCGCACATATGCAGAATGGTAGTAAAAATGTTTTCATATCGAAAGTTATTTATTTTCGAGGAACGAAAATGTTCGTTATTAACGAGTTATTACACCTCATTAATTCATTTTATACAATTATCATTTATTTATCCAAGAGACATTCTCACGGTTTTCAAAGTTCCATATCAAGACGCTTATGACTGCATCATAGATCTTGGCAAGTCATACTTTCATGAAATTATGATAACGCGACATGTCCATTATTAACATGTATGGATCGTACAAATTTATATTATTTATAAAGCACTGTACATATTGTTCTTCTCCATATTGGATAATAAGAAGTAAACGTTTTCGTCGGAATATTACATATTCGTGAAGAACTGAAAATACTCCAAAGCAGACAGAGAACGAAATCTACACATGTGACCAAAATAAGATGTTAAATTACTGAGAACCATGGTAGAAAATGTTCTAACTTCAGAGATCAGCTGATAACTGGATGTTTATCATTTAGCTTTTCAATCTCTGAGATTTTCGACATCTGGAGATATAACTATCTCATCCCATTCACCACATTATATACACATGTTGCAAGTTGCAGCATCTTCTAATTTAGTCCAGTAATATTAGCACAGACTGCACAACCACTCACGCTTCTAAGGCAACTGGTTCCCGTGCTTTTTCTTTCTTCGTAACTAAACAGAAAAAGCAAAATAATTAGGCTCCCATGTTGAAGTACAAAACATGTGCAATACAATCTGAGGATTGTAATCTACCTTTCACTTTTTCTTTTTCTTCTTCTTCTTCTTCTATCACCTCCGTCGGCACAGATGATACGGGGACATCTGGCATGGATTCTTCTACATTCTTTGCCAAAAGGTCTTCGAGTTCTGCAGTAATATCCCTTTCATCTTCTTCACTGAATTCACCAGACAATAATTCATCTAATTCTCTCTGTTTCTCGATGCCCTCTCTTGTATCGTCCATAACTTTTTCAATGTCTTCAATTTTGAGAACCTCGTGCAAACTTTTCAGTGCAGCGTTTCCAATTTTTAGACCATCGACCACTTTCATTTCCACCTGTGCAAACTCTAGATCGTGTACCATCCGTTCTAAATTTTCTAACTGATTATCACTTGTCTCAAGTATTTGATCATAATCTCGGAATTTCTTCCTTCGCTTTAAGAGCAGCTTAGCACGCCTATAAAAGACCAATATTAATGCTTATCGATAACACTAAATATTTATGATTAAAACGAATGTATAAATCTTATGGATGAATGAAAGTTGAATAAATGTAATGTATAAATACAATATGGAATAAATAACTTGAGATAATAACAATGATCAAGCTTTCTGTTGACAGCTATTATTAATTATTTGGTATGCAAAGTCACTGACTATTCAACAATGACATTCAAAGAGAACACTTACTCCCTCTGATCATTTTGAATTAATTTTTTCAACAATTCCCGCTCCTTTTCTTTACTCTGCTCGATTCTTCTCTGATATTGTTTTATCTTGTCTCTCGTTTGCTTCAGTTGCTACAAGAATAGGACATAAAAACACGCAGTGCCGTGCCCGCGAAGTGAGGTTAGGTTCACCTCTGGATGTGAATAGTTACCAATACAGCCTTGTCGTGTTCCGTAACCCGACTAGCGGGTTTTTTCTTCGCGAAGAAAATACCCATTTTCCACAAAAATATGTGCCCGATGACGTTGTTAAGTTAATTTCTGTAAAAAGGATAGAATTTCAGGAAACATGACAGCACCCAGAGCGAAGACAACGAAACTACAGGATTATCAAGGATTACTGTAGAATGATAGACGCACCTATATAGCGGCCTTTCCCAATGTTCTTATTCATTCATGGAGAGACGCCCTGTAAATAGTTCTCATTACTTGGCGCTGCAATCTGCAAGCCAAGGTTAGAGTTCAGATATAAACAGAGATA